TTCCATCCCCACCCCCCAGGTGGCCCACACAGCGCGGCAGACCTCTCCTGTCTCGCCCACTGCTCCCCTCAGCAGTGTACTTCATTAATCTGCCTGTTCTGTTCCCCACTCTTATCACTACCTCTGCATCTCCACACTGTACCCCAGTTCTGTATGCATAAATCTTTTTTAAAAAATTACTACAAAGCAATAGTAATTAAGAAGGCATAAGGACAGAATTTATTTGATGGGATAGAATTGAGGATCCAGCAATAACCCCATACATCTAAGGTCATTTGGTTTTTGACAAAAGTGCCAAGATCATTCATTGGGAAAAAGAATATAGCCTTTTGGAAAAAGGGAAAACTGGATATCCACACATGAAAATGGATGGGTATATCTATTTTTAAAAAACTCCAATGACCAAGATTTAAGAAGTGATAAAACATGATTTACGTAATCTTTGATTAGGCAATAATTTCTTGGAAATAACACCAAAAATCTTGAGCAAAAGAGGGTAAATTTTACTTCAAAATTTAAACTTTGGCTTGTTACAAAAGTGAGAAATAATTCAAGAGAATTAGGAACAAGCCATATGCTGGGAGACCAGAGCACAGAGAATTTTTTAGGGCAGTAAAAACTATTATGTATAAGACTATAATGGTGGATACATAATACATACAGCAAGTCCATAGAATGTACAGCATCAAGAGTGAACCGTAGTGTAAATTACTGGTTTAGGATGGCGATGACATATCAATTGTATTCATCAGTTAGGACAAATGTGCCAGTTTGGTGTGAGATATTGATAGTAAGGGCAGAGGTTACATGAGAATTCTCTCTACTGTTCTCTCAGTTTTGCTATGAGTACTCCCCCAAAATAAAAAGCTCGTAAAGTTCATTTGAAAAAAGGATAGCAGATAATCTACTAAATTGTAGAAAGCATTTGCAAATTGTCTATCTGATTAGAATTATAGCCACAATATATAAAAAACCCTTACAACTCAACAACAAATATAAAAGTTGAATTTTTTCAACAAGGCAAAAAATTTGTAAAGACATGCCCCCAAGGAGGAGACAAACAGCAAAAAAAGGAAAGTGGAAAATACTCAGTATCTAATCATTCAGGAACTGCAAACCACAACCACTGTCTGGTTCTACCATTGAGGGTATTATTTTTTTTAAATAATGAAAAATAAGGGTGCGTCCCTGGCGGCCTGTTAAGTCTTTTCACTATCACTGCAATAACCTGAGACACCCTGAGGCAATCCCTGGGCAGGGAGATGACCCACAGAGTGCAGCAGGCCCCTGCTGTCTCATCCGCCGCTGCCCTCAGTAGTGTATCAGTAAATTGACCTGCTCTGCTCTCCACTCTGTCTCTGGTGAATGCTCTCACACACACCCTGGCCCTGTACCTCTGGCCTACATCCAGGTCTTCTATGCATAAATAAATCAATCTTAAAACAAAAAAAAAAAAAAAAAAGAAAACTAAGAACAAAATAACAGTTACAGTCAGAAATGTAAAGAAATTGGTGCCCCATACATGGCTTGTGGGAAGGTAAAATGGTATAGCTACTGTGAAAAATAGTTGGGTGGTTCCTCAAAAAAAAAGTTATCATTGACTGCCCAGTTTAATGTCTTAGGTATATATTCAAGGAAATTGAAAGTGTTCACATAAAATCCTGTATGTGAAGGTTCATAGCAGCATTACTCTTATAATAGCCATAAAGTGGAGGTATTCCAAACACTCATTGATGATTAAGACAAGCCCTGAGGAGGAGTCTTGTGTGGCACTGTGAATGGGTCTTGATAGAGGTATCCGGGTGACAGGAGGAAGATCCCAGAGGGCGCATACTGGGCCCTCCCCAGTGGGGCAAGGAGTTAAAGTGTGGCACTATGAAGCTGTTACAGCCACTGTAGCACAAGTTCAATCCCCAGCTGGGGACTGACCCACATGGCTCAGCAGACCTCTCCTGTCCCACCCACTGCTCCCATCAGCAGTATGTTTCAGTAGACCACCTTCTCTGCTCCCCACTGTCTCTGGTGAATCCTCTCACCCCTGGCCTGTACCCCAGTTCTGTACGTGTAAATAAATCAAAAAGAAAAAAAAAAGCATACTGTGCAGTTCTTCTATGTGAAATGTCCAGAATGGGCTAAACCATAGAAATAAAAAGTAGATTAGTGGTGGTTATACACTGGGAGAAGGGAGGGTAGACCTAATAGCTGATTGCTATAGGCTTACTTGCTGTTTTTTTTTTTTAACATTTATTTATTTATACATACAGAACTGGAGTACAGGCTAAAGGTCTACGGTTGGTGAGAGGATTCACAGAGACAGAATGGGGAGCAGAACAGGCAGACTGACAAAGTACACTGCTGAGGGGAGCAACGGGCAAGAAGTCTGCCACGCCATGTGGGTCACCTCCCCAGCCAGGGGTTGAATTCATGCTGAAGCAGCTGCTGCTAGCTTTGTAGTGCTGTGCTTTAACCCATTGTGCCACCAGGGAGAGCCCACTACAAGCTTTCTTGTGTGAAGGGGTTTGTTTATGCATATGTTCTGGAATTATGTAGTGGTAACTGATGAATATCCGGTGACTGTATTAAAACCACTGAAATGTGTAATTTGAAAGGGTGAAGTTTGTCCTGCTGCTTGGGTGCTGACAGCTGTACTCACTCCCCTAGGAGGAGAGGATTGCCATTGGTTGTAGGTGGGCACTGCTGGCTTCAGCACAGCTCACTGTGCTGAGGATCAAAGCTTGCACAGGACACACCAGGGTCTAGGACATGATTCCATGTGCTGCAATAGTATCAACCATGTTTTGAAAGACTCAAAGTGCTGCTTACTAGAGGGAAGTCAAATCTGGGGAGTGTTACCACTAACTTACATTGAAAATTTTTGAATAATCCCAGCCCCCCCTAAATAACCTGTCTAATTATATCAAATAGGAATATTCTACTCACAGTTTGGGGGGAGGCGGCATTCCCCAAAACAACTGCTGCGTTCTTGCAGGCACTCTATTTCTAGTCTGAAACAGGGTTAAATATAAAAACCTCATGGTGATTTGTTCTTTTATAATGAAGTTACTATACTCTCTTAAAGCAAGTTTCTCCTAAGAGTGGTGACCTGAGAATAAAACTATTATCTTCTCTATTATACCAAAAATTAACAAAAAACAACTGCATTAAGTATACATCATGAAACAAATGAACAAAAAGTATGAATTTTCATGGTATGCGAACCAGGGTTCCTTGAAGACTGGTAAGTTCAGGAGTTGTATAGAGTGAGTATAGTCTACATTCAGATAAAGCTCTCAAAGACTACTAGGGTCATATCAAAGAGATTGAGGAAACAATTTGAAGTGAGTCCCATTGACCACTGATAAGGCTGTCTGAGCATCAAAGGAATAATAGCTACAGCTGTTAATTTAAGCACATCAAAATATGCTTCAATCCAGCAGTTATTTTAAGAAAAACCAACTTGTTGGTCTCGTTTGGATGATTATTAGTGAGCCATTTTATTATTTTGGAAATGAGTAAAGTGAAGAACAAAGCATTACTTTTCCTATGTAAACTAGCTCAGGGTTACCAAGTAATAGAGAAGCCTGAAGCTTCTCTTTAAATGGAAGAATTCTACCAGATGAGTAAAGGAGTAATGAGACTATCACCCTGTACAACCCTAGAGAAATAAGCTAACCAGTGTTCATCAGTGGCTGGTATCAGTACAAGGTATTACATTGAGTGACACTGACTATCATGTTCCCTATGATGGAGGGTCCCTTCCTAAAAGTCTAGTGGAGAAAGAACACCTAAATCGGACCATGCCTATATATTTAATTGCCACTCTATAGTAAATGCCTATGATATTTCCCCTGTATTCAGTTCAGAGGAAAATAGGAAATGATACCATAGGGATCTTATCAAGAAAATCTAAACTGAGGAAGCCATAAGCAAATAACCTGGTTTCTTTAACAAAACAAAAAAGACAAAGTAGAACTTTTTTTTTTTTTAAAGATTTATTTATTTATGCATACAGAACTGGGGTACAGGCCAGAGGCTCAGGGGCAGTGAGAGGCCTCACCAGAGACAGAGTGGGGAACAGAACAGGCAGATCGACAAAGTACACTGCTGAGGGGAGCAGCGGGCGGGTCAGGAGAGGTCTGCCACGCCATGCGGTCTCCTCCGGGGCAGGCGGGAATTGAACTCATGCGGAAGCGGCTTTAGCTTCTCAGTGCTGTGCTTTAACCCGCTGCGCCACCAAGGAGGGCCCAGAACTTTTTTTTTTTTTTTTTTTTTAATATATGGCTATGGTATGTACTACATCGGTTTTGCTTTGTTTTTTTATTTACTTTCTTACGTTCATTTTTGTATAGTCAGAATGGAACATTAAACATAAGTTAGGCTCGTACTGACTGAAGTTAGATGTCATAGAGACTTTATCTTATATGGGAGAAAAGTAAAAGTATTGATACATTTCAGCTTTTAGGTTAAATACGCTCACTAAAATTACACCACTAAAAAAGGTATAATCTCCAAGCCAAGAGAGGAGGATGAGAGAGAGAACAGTTAGTTATGGAAAAGAAGAAACATTGACAAGGCAGGACCAAAAGAAACCAAATTATATAACTATATATAATTTGTAGTAAATATAAATGGACTGTATTTTATATTTGAAGATGGCAGCTTGGGTAAGAATGTCCAGTGTGCTTTGTTCACATGGGACTCGCATAAAACTTACAGACAGACAGAAAGTGGTAGAATGGAAAGGGTAGTTTTTTAAAAAGATTTTATTTTTTGCATAGAAGAATAGGGGGTTCTTTAGAGACAGTGGGGAGCAGAACAGGCACATTTCCTGAAACACTGCTGAGGGGAGCCACAGGCAGGACAGGAGAGGTCTGCCGCACATGATGATCAGACTCAGGCTGCAGTAGTGACAGCACTTAACACCTAGGCCACCAGAGAAGCCCAGGAAGCAATTTATATTGTTCACTATACCATGAAGAATTTATTTTTTCTCTTTTTAGGTTGAAGAAAAAGGAGTTTAGTTTAGAAGAAATATATACCAACAAGAACTATAAATCTCCTCCTGCAAACAGGTAGGTATAACAGGTGTAAGTCTCCAATCCTTTCCCTTCAAAGAGGGGTTTATATCTTGTGTTTAGTTCCGAACACTTTCCTTGGGGTCAGTGGTGGAATAGAAAAGGAATGAGGTTGGGTTGGTGTTCCTGCCAGATGTGCTGATTTTGAATTTTTTCTTTGGGATGCTCTTTGATCTTCAGCTCTGATTCCAAACCCGGTACAAAAGCGTTTCACTCAACCACCTTTGGATCCGAGTTCAGGTCTTTGAAAGCTGATTAAATGCCTGTTGTGTCTAAGGGCATAGCCTGAGAGTTCTAGGAGTTCATCCTGCCTGTGCTGAGAGACATTTGTACAAGACTATTCAATGTGACATTACCAGATAATAAGAAAGGATTGGAAAGAAGACATCCATTTATAGGGCTTTGATTAAACTCTGTGATCCATTATGTATAATGTAGACATTAAGAAGAATGAACAAATACCTGTGTATCAAGGTGTATCAGTCTTAGAGATGATCGATAGGGCAGAGAGATACAGAGCATAGGATGGTATGCATAGTTCACTTCTGTCCGAGTGTGGGGAAAAGACCAGAGTGGCTGGCATAGGCCATGGCCGGCTCTGTACAGGCCGCTGCAACCAGCTGCCTTTTTTCTACTTAATGCTGTATTTGTGTGGAGTTGGTAGCTTTATTTTCTGATTTTTTTTTTAATATAAGTATTTCTCCATATTGAAACATCTGCTATGTAACTGCCCAATAGTTCTCATTCTGACTTGCATTACTATATAGAATTATCTCAAAACCCTTCCATTTTGCTGTAAATAGCAACATTTTGTTTTCTTGTGGCTTTTTTTCTTTTTAATGACCTGTGAGCTAAGAACAGTTTCTATATTTTTCAAGGGTTGCTTTAAAAACAGAAAGAATACAGAAAGATCTGTGTGGCTCATCCATTTTAAAATGTCTGCTGTTACTATCTGGTCTTTTCAAGGAAAGGACCAGGCCCTTGAGAATGCTTGCTTTTTCATGTACATCTATATAGTGAATGGGTGTGGGAAGGGTACACAGGAAAGACTTTCTGGTATTGGTCTTTTATTCCTTTTATACACAGTTGCAATTTTTTTCACTCTATGCTTACAGTCTTTTCATATGTAATACACCCACACACTTTTTTGTTTGTTTCATATAAAAAAGTAGATAGTAAACAGAGGAAATAGTTTAGTGAGACATGATTAGTGCAGGAAGCTTTTGGTCCCCATTGACTAAAGGATTGGTGACCGAGGAGTGCTGGTGATTCTGTCTTGTTCTCCATCTTAGGTGTTTAGAGACCATCTTTGAAGAACCTAAGGAGCGAAATGGTACACTGATTTCAATCAGCCAACAGAAGAGAAAGCGAGTTCTAGAATTTCAGGATTTTACAGTTCCACGAAAGAGGAGGGCTCGAGGCAAGGTCAAGGTGGCAGGCAGCTCTACCAGGGCCCAGAAGGCGGCGCTGCAGAGTCGAGAACTGGATGCCCTTTTGCTACAGAAACTAATGGAACTGGAGACCTTCTTTGCCAAGGAAGAAGAGCAGGAGTGACCATCTGATTGTTAAGAAGCTGTTTAGTTTGGGGGGGGAGGGTCTCAGTTTTAGTTTTTCTGGGCCTCTTTGGAAGAGGTTACCTAGTTTTACCCCACCACCCAAACCACTCAAATTGTAGTCCATGGATTTTTACCTATTTCAAGGTGCAAACTTTTAAGGAACTGGTAAAGGAGGGTCTTCTTCTGCTGAGTATAGAACCTCAGGAATGCTCCCTTTCTCCTGGAAATGGTCCTGAATGACATCCGGCTGCCTCCTTCCACTCTGCCATCCACAGGAGGAAGATGCAGCATACCTTCAGTAACACTAGGATTCCAAGGACTCACAGCATTTGCACGTCCCTGTGAAAGTTCCGCGTTGTTTACGGTGGTGCTAGACCAAGAGTTAGATAGAGACGTGGCCTAGGGAGGGGGACCCAGCGTCCTGTCCTGTGGTGTTTTCTAATCCTCCGTGAGTCTGCCCAGAACTGGTTGCGTGTATGTGTGTGCATGTGTGTGCGTCTCCTTCCCATCACTTTCTCCCCTCTGTGACTGTGGGTCACTAGTGCCAGAGGAGCCCGTCCAGGCCCCATTCGAAGTAAGTTGCACTTTTTAATGTTGTGGTGTTGATTATTTTCATTTGTTTTATCTTTTTTTTTTTTTTTTTGTATTACTGCTGCATGTTTGGAGCCTTTAAATGTGATTTTTAAATGATTTTTTAAGATATCAAGGAGAAAGATAATATCTGTCTTAAGAATATGTGATAGGCATTTGACCCAGTTTATCGGTGCATGGTATGGACGATGAGAAAGAGACATTCTCCCATCCACGTGATTCAAGCAATCTCCTTCCCATCTCCAACTTTCATTGTAATGCCGTAGGGAGCACTTTTTTCCACCTGGGTTCTCATTTTTGCCCACTAAGTACATGTGTTTATTGTAATGACGGAGGAAAGAGCAGGTCGCTCTTGCAATCATTTAAAAAATACATAAAAGTTGGGCAAGGTCTTCATGGATTTTATCTAAGGTGGTGAATGACTGAACTGGGTACAACAGCTGGGGTCATTATAGAGTCCGGCCCAGGGTGCCGCCGCTGTCAGAGTGACCTGCAAGTAGTAAGAGAAGACGCCTTGGTTGAAAGCCAGTGAGGCATTCAGGTGGATCATGAAACACCCACGGCCAGCCTCTCGAAGGGCACCGAGTTGTGCTGTGGGGCTCCTGTGTCAAATCTCCTGGGAACCTCGTAGGATGCCGGAGGTCGCCGGGCTGCTTCACTTACCCTGAGGAGCTTGGGGGCGGAAGGACGCTGTGTGGGCCTGCAGGCCCAGGGGTTTCATTCCTTTCCCGCTTGACCCGAGTGTTCTCTCCTGCTTCCCCTTCCTCTCCCTCCGTGTGTTTTATCTTTTCTCTCTTGAAACAAGAGTTCAGAGAATTAACATTCCTTGGCTGGTGAGTGGAATATAAACCCAGCTTCAGGACACTGGCCGCCGCCTCCTGTCCTCCTAGCTCCAGAGACATTTTCGAGTCAGTCTGTTAGGGAAGAGTGAGTGCTGCTGTGCTGGAATGTGTCTCCTTGGTTCTTTTGTTTCCCCATTTGTTAGTGGGTGGGGAGATGGGGTGCGGTGGGGAGTCTTCTATGTGCCTTTCTTTTGCAGGTTGACTGTCTATGCCACACTGGAGCAGAAGCATTGACATGAGCAAGAAAAACAAGTGCCACATCCTATATGCTGGGCCCCTGCCTCAGACATAGCATCTAGTCAGTGATACACACACCTGGTCATCACGGAGGCTTCCCAGCCCATGGCCAAATAGCATTATGAGAGCCAAGCTTCCACACTGGTTCTGAATGACGTGAACCAGATTCTGGCGTTCTACATCCACTTTGCCCAGACTGTATAGACACGACCTGTGTTTCACCTCAATACCTCTCCCTTCCTGGGGCAGGGTCCATAGACACTAAATGCTTCTGTCTTTGCTTAAGGGGTATGGGATAAGTCATGCCTGTGTCCCTGTGTAAACATTTTTAGGGAATTCCTAGACGGCTGGCAAAGTCCTGGTGAATCAGCAGAGCACTGTTTCTAGCGCTCTTGCCAGCATCTGAGAGTCAGCAGTGGCTGACGTAGCACCCAGCAGGCAGAAGCTCAGACGGGTACTGCTGTGATATTACTGACATTCTGGGGATACAATTTCAAGTTTGCTCACTGTGGGCCTGATCCTCACAAGGACAAGGAGCAGTGAAGGGCATATTGGTGAGAATGGAGACCTGGGCTCCTTCTTTATCTTGGGAACCGGGGGATATCACCTCTTGACACCTAACCTGCCTGTCCTTGAAACTCTTGGCCTCTTTTCTGGCTCACACCCTCTCCTGCTTCCTCGGTTAAGAAAGGAGCTCCCAACATGAGCTTGAAATTGCTTATCTGAGGCTGATACATCAGGGTTTAGCTGTGCTCAGCCACACCTGTCTTAACATCCATTTCCCTAGACATGGCCTCACCAGCTGGGTGCTGTCAGCCGTCCTTGAAGCCTGTGGTACCATATGAGCTGCTGGCCTGCCACCTACCTGGAGCTGCAGGTCTGCTTCGGGGTGGAACTGGTACAATTTCTGTGTACAGGGACTTCCCACTGCTCGTGGTGAGAAGTTGTAATTAATTATAACTTACTCAACTTAACTCAAATACAGACATGTAGTGTTCGTCACATGGGGAAGAGAGGAGAAATCTCAGGTCCAATCAGGGTTTTGCCCATCAGCTTTTCACTGAAACTTCTGAGGTTTTTTTCATTTTTCAGTTTAGAGCTGTGTTTGCACCATCCCCCACCTTCCCTTCCTCTTCTCATTTGGTCTCCTTTTCCATCTTCATTTCTCCATTAGTGTAAATGTACCTCATCAGCTATGAAAGCAGATTATGTTCATTTTATTTTAGTTGATCTTACTCATAAAGAGCTACAGCTGAGGGAAGTGCAGTCAGAAGACGTAGCGTTTGCCTTACTTGGAGCCTGAAGAGCTCAGAAACTCATGCTGTGAATCCCAAAACTCAGCGCCCCTCCAAGAGCTGTGAAAACCATGACGCTTTGTCACAATTTTGCCTGAAGGGGTCTTTTCGCACCAGAGCTAACCTGAGGTAACTTCCACATCTCTCTGGGCTTAGCCCTTCCCCACGGCTGGTTCTCTGCCAGGAGCAGCGCAGAGTGGGCAAGCCTGGGCAGTGGGGCCACTGCTGCAGCTGAGCAGAGCCAGGGCGCCACCTCCAGGCTGGGGTGCCATCTCAGTCAGTACCGTGTACATTAAGGCCCGCGAAAGACCAACTTTTAGGCGGCGATCCTTTTCTCCCACTATGGGGAAAGTATGCAGTTGGTGCTTTCTTTAACTCCCTTGTTTTGTTTCGTTTCTGTAAGCTTTTTCCCTGGTATCATGGAAAGGACCTCTTCAACACCACGGTGTGGGTGGCTATATCCAAAGTCGAAATAATTGACCAGAGGTGAGGGGAGCTTTTCCTGGATCTGTGCAAGGGAAAGACTCACCACAGCTGAACTTAGTAAAAAGCTGACTGGGGGAGAAGGCTGCACTGAAACAAGTCAAATGTTACCCTCTAGCCACAAATGGAGCCATCTTGACCATAAAGTGAGGGTCCCCGTACAGCCCGCAGTCAGCGGAGTCTCAGATTGATGCTCGTTCTTTGTCTTCATGAGCCCCTCTCTGGTGCTGAATAGGATTTGAATTTCTGGTGAGAGGCCTCAGCATCTCCATGGGCTGGTCTGGGCCAGTAAATAGCTGCCTGAAGTGTTTATATATTATCATGGTCAATAGTTCAGTGAAATTTGTACATTTTTGGTAACATTGGCATACATGATGCCCCTGCAGTTCCTTTTCTGTTTGGTAGTTTGTGACTCTAAAATTCCCACTGTTATGTGTGTTAATTTATGAAAATAAATTTTTTTGAAAACCTTTCAATAATTCGACTATTATTTTGCTCTTATGACTAGTAATAGGTTAAAGTTTCACCTCTGATGTCACAAAGTTGTTTGGTGGGTGTTTTTTTTTTTTTAAGATTTGGTTATTTATGCATACAACAGCTGAGGGATCGACCAAAGGTGCAGGGGCAGTGAGAATTCACCAGAGTGGGGAGCAGAACAGGCAGATCCACTGAAATACACCATTGAGGGGAGCAGCGGGGGAGGCAGAAGTCTGCTGTGCCATGTGGGTCACTGAGTTCACTTGTTCTGCAGTCTTAGAGTGTTGAGACTTAACCCTTGTGCCACCCAGGAGGCCCAGTTGTTTATTTTTAAACATTCTAGAGATACAGTTTATAAGCAAGCATTATTTCCAAAGTGATCACCATCTTCTGAAGACTGTCGTGTGCCCAGAACACATTTGGCACTCCCATGCCACTTTGAACAGTGAAGTTGTTTGTTTTTTTAAAAAAACTGGTTTATGTCCCTCCCTGGTGGCGCAGCAGGTTAAAGCACTGCACTGAGAAGCTAAAGCCACTTCCGCATGAGTTCGATCCCTGCCTGTCCCGGAGGTGACCACATGGCGCGGCAGACCTCTCCTGACCCGCCCGCTGCTCCCCTCAGCAGTGTCCAAATGCCTGTTCTGCTCCCCACTCTGTCTCTGGTGAAGCCTCTCACCGCCCCTGAGCCTCTAGCCTGTACCCCAATTCTGTATGTACAAATAAATAAATCTTTAAAAAAAATTGGGTTTGTTAATGCATACAATAACTGGGATATAAGACATGTTTTGGGGGGGAGGATTCTTTTTTTAGAAATTTGATTATGCATACAGAACTGGGGTACAGGCCAGAGGTACAGAAGCAGTGAGAGGATTCACCAGTGACAGAGTGGGGAGAAGAACAGGTTGACGAAGTACACTGCTGAGGGGAGCAGCGGGTGGGTCAGGAGAGGCTGAGAATCAAGCTCATGCTGGAGTTGCTTTAGCTTCCTATAGTGCTGCACTTTAACCCGTTGCGCTACTAGAGAGGGCCCAGTTTACTTGCTGAAAGGTCTCTAACATATTCCCTTCCCAGTTGTACACTAGGTTCAGCTGTGAACTCAGATCCTCAGCTCATACCAACTGAAGCTAGTAAGAGAACAACTGAAAACATGGCACTCCTGACACCACACAGGTATGTTTCGGAAAGAAGCATAATTCCTGGATGTTCCTCCTCTGTCCAAAAGAAGAGCAGAGCACCATTCTATTCTTGAGCTAGTCAAGAATTATGTCCAGGTAATTTTTCAAATGCCGAGAGCATTCTGCCCGACAACTGTGTTTCTGCTGGTTAGGTTTCACCACTGACTTAGAGAAGAGTAAATAAAACTTTGCCTTACTTAAAGGGGAACATTTGTCGGTTACTTCCTTTGGCACGTACCATCGCCAGATTTTCACTGGTGGGGTCGCCTGAAAATAAGAGCACTGACTTAGGAATCTTCTATGATACCCTGCCCTCTTTCAATGATGAAGACTTTTTTTTTTTTTAATTTATTTATGCATACAAAACGGGTACAGGCCAGAGATGCGGGAGTGAGAGGATTCACCAGAGACACAGTAGGGAGCAGAACAGACAGATTGGCTGAAATAAACTGCTGAAGGGAGTAGTGGGAGGGACAGGACAGGTGGGCCTTGCCATGTGGGTCAGCTCCCTGGCTGGGGATTGAACTTGTGCTGCAGTGGCTGCGGAGAGCTTCATAGTGCTGCACTTTAACCCTTTGACCCACCAGGGAGGTCCCTCCCCTTTCCTTTTATTTGATTGTCTCCACTTCAGATCTCCAGGGACCTTCACCTGCTGACTCCCTCCCTGCCCCATCACCCCCTTCCCTGTTAGACACCCCTCTTAGCTGTTCCTCAGCTCATGTACTTCTCACCCTTGCCATGCACAGTGGCTTGTCTCTCCACTGCCTTGTGAGCTTCAGGGCAAGCTCTTACTAGCCATCTCATCCCTAGCCATTCTTCACAGGTTCTAACTCATTATTGAACAGATCTAGATATCCAATGATTCACCAGGCCACTGGATGACACCAAACTATCACGACTGTCCTCTGGTGGACACGGGCTTGTGGGGGGCAGACATAAACACAGGATCTGATGGGAGGCCATGGCAAGCTTTGTGATACAGGTAGAAGTGCCATGAGGATTGAATGAAAAGATACATTTTTTTTTAAGAACTGTAAAAAGTGGCCTCTCTAGTGTAGGGGTTAAGTCAGCACTGTCACGCTATGGCCTGAGTTGATTCCCAGCCAGAGAGCTGACCCACATGGCGCAGCAGACCTCCTGTCTTGCCCGCTGCTCCCCTCAGCAGTGTATTTCGTTAGATCTGCCTCTTCTGCTCCCCATTCTCTATCTGGTGAGGCTTCTCACCCCCGCACCTCTGGCCTGTACCCCAGTTTCATATGGAAATATATACATACACGCATTGTCTAAAACACATCTCCTTAGTACAGCTAGGCCCTACCAAAACTTGGCTTGGCTGAGTTCACATATCCATGGGAAACAGTGTCTTCCCTGTCGCTTCGCTGGCTCTCTGCTCCTGTTCATCTTTTTTTTTTTTTTCTTGCCACTGCCATAGCTACTGTTGGAAGCTTATAAATACCTTAGTTTCATGATTTGGCAGTTGCTGCCTTCCATAAAGACCAGAACTTAAGCCTCCAAAGTTTCCTCCTTTCTTGGATCCACAAATATAAGATTGCTGAAATTACCAAAAACCATCACTATCAGTAGCTTCATCACCTTCAAAATTATTTCCACCAATACTAAATCTGTGCTAGTCATCCCCACGGTCACCATATTAACCACCACCACCTCGGACACTTCAGCCACCAAAACCACCACAACCACAAACATCAACAAAGTTTCAGGAACCACCTTGACTGCTTGGATGAACTACTGGCTATCTTCTATGGCCTACGGCTTTCCTTACACAGTTATGGCCATTCCCAGTATGGTAGTTCTGAATGACAATATAGAGTCATGGTCATCAACAGTTAAAAAGGCCAAGCTTCTCTTGCCACTACTGCCTCTGTCGTCCATGACTTCAATCACTTCAACCTCACACTGTTCAAAATAATCTCTTAGATGCTGTTCTCCATGTCGTCTTTTTTTTTTTTAAAAAAGATTTATTTATGCACACAAGAAATGGGGTATAATCCAGAGTTGTGGGGAGGTGAGAGGATTCACCAGAGATAGAGTGGGGAGCAGAACAGGCAGATTGACAAAGTGCACACTGCTGAGGGGAGCAGCGGGCCTGACAGGAGATGTCTGCTGCACCATGTGGGTCAGCTCCAGGGCTGGGGATTGAACTCACACTGAGGCAGCCACAGCCAGCTTCACAGTGCTGTACCACCAGCGAGGGCCCAATTAAAGTTTTTTCCTACTCCTTTCTTCTGGGCCATTACCCCTGGTGTGTACTGCAGTAATCTGTTTTCCTTCAGGGGTTACTAGCTTTGTTTGGCTACAGTCTGGTTGTGAGTAAAGGGAGGAGGCCAGCCTGGTATCTTCACTCTGTTGCCATCTTGCCAGACTCCCTTCCATCCATTTTGCACTTCATTTTGAAGTGTTCCTCTTCCCCCTCAGTTTTGAGTTACTACTCTTAATTGAACAGTAAAAACAATTCTATACTTTTTCCACCTCAGATTTTTGAAAGCCAAATGGGGAAATGTCTTCCTTCTAATGCAAAACAAAATGCCTGTTAAGCTCCTTTATGAGCTGGTTATGCCATACTTGAGCTTAAATAATCACATAGAAGTAATTGCAAGTATCATGTAATATATCCCTCTTCCTGTGTCAAATGTCTGGTGTCGACAATAGTGATCAGCAGCTTAGAGCAGGAAAGAGTGGAGTTGTGCTCCTTCAGTTTGGGGCCCAAATTCTAGACAAAGGACTTAAAAGGAAGGTTTAGCTCATGGTTTTGGAGTCAGGTGTTTATGTTCAAATTCTGACTTCTATTTTACAGCTGCTTTCTTTTGTGCATATTGATTACCCTCTCTGAATCACAGTTTACTTTTTTGTTGTTGTTTTTAAGATTTATATATTTATGCATACAGGAACTGGGGTACAGGCCAGAGGTGTGGGGATTGAAGGATTCACCAGAGACAGAGTGAGGAACAGAAAAGGCAGATTGACAAAGTACACTGCTGAGGGGAGGAGAGGGTGAGACAGGAGGTCTGCCAGTCATTTGAGCCACCTCCCTGCCAGGGGATTGAACTCCAGCTGCAGTAACTTAGAATACCTTCTCAGTGCTGTGCTTTAATCCACTGGCCACCCTCCCCACTGCTTTTTTTTTTTTTTTTTTAAGATTTACTTATTTATGCAAGAACTGGGTATGGACCAGTGTGTGGAAGGGGGAGAGGATTCACCAGAGACAAAGTGGGGAGCAGAACAGGCAGACTGACTGAGGGGAGCAGTGGGCAAGACAGTAGAGGTCTGTTGTGCCAGATGGGTCTGCTCTCTGGCTGGGGATAGAACTTGTGCTGCAATGGCTGCAGATAGCTTCAGTGTGAAGAGACTTAATCCCTTGTATCACCAGGGAGGCCACTGAGTCACGGTTTTTCCATCTTTAAAATGGGCATAATGTCTCTGGGCTAGCAGCTTGATTTGTCCTTTCCGTTAAAAAGAAAAAAAGAAAAAGCAGGTACTAATGAAAACTTTTCCCTTAAACTGAACGACTAGGCGTCTCTTAGAAGCAAACTTCATCAAACTGGGGCGCCTCATTTTAGAGACTAATTACTTTTGCAGGTGATCCAAGAACCCTTGCCTCGGTGTCACTTCCGAGAGATAAGTATTAGACCCCGCATATAAGTATTAGACCCCGCATATAAAGTGCTCAGAACAGAGCTCTGCACTTAGGAAGCGCTTAGTAAATGGCAGCTGATAATACGTGAGAAAGAAGGTGCTGGAGTTGGACCTATCTCGGCTATGAATTGGCTGGATTAAATGGATATTGTTTTCGCCTCT